CTCCTGGGGCCATGGGCAGGTGGTGGGAGAACTTTCAAGGGAAGTTGGTCAGAGACATTAACATGAGTGCCCTGAGTGCACTAAAACCTCCTCAATGCTCATTATTAAATAAATGTTTTCCCCTCTATTTGTAAAGTTTTTATGTCCCTCTTCATCAAGGGTTGAACTTGATGATCTTGGAGGTCTTTTCCAACCCAGTTGATTCTATGATTCTGTGATTGATTCTATGATTCATTCTGATGGAAGGCTGCTGCTGACTTTTCCAGTTTTGATGCTTAGAACTTTTTTTCACCAAATTTGGTAACACAGTATATATATCCTTGGTTTTGTGCTAAAAATTAAGAATAAAGACCAAGATGTTGAGAAACATTTCCTGCCATAAGAAATAGTGACACCTGCACAGGAGCCACTCCTAAAAAACCCATCAACTTAAAAGTCTGTTTCAAAAAAACAGGAGACATTTTATATGTTTTCTGATACATTACTGGGTGAGGGTAGAAAATCTCCTCCACTGTATGGCCAGAGCTGCACAGTCACATTTGCATAAGAAGTGAATCCATTCTTGCTTTGAATTTACAGAAATAATGTAATTTCTGTGTCTTAGTAGTTCTTAGAAACTCTCCTCTACCCCTCAGTGTTTCAGTCCTGTGCAAAAATCACAAGGGCTACATTTTTTTTGCTGGAATAAACATCTTTTGTCCCTTTAGAAATCACTTGGTGGGAAACTTGAGTTATCGTATGTGTCTGCACAAAGAGTGCTGTGTATCGCTAAATAAAAATAACATAGTTTAACATGTATTTCCTTATTATCTTCAGTATACATTTCTGGAATTTGTTTCCATTGGGAAAAGACTTTTAAAAGAAGATAGGTGAATGGTTTTACCTGCCCTAAAATAAAAATTCGTGTTTTAAAGTCAATCAATGAAATAAAAAATCTTGTGCTTCATTCAAAATTTGTCAACAAAATGAACAAAAGCCTTAATTTGATCTTGGTGTGGCAGCTTGGTTTTCCTCCTTTACTTCCACCACTTTATGCAGAAGTGGGAGGTAGAGCAGAAAGCAGAGGAGTGTTAATGACACAAAACAGAAAGTGACAAATGTCATTTGTTTTGAAATGGTCATTTCCATCACTGTGGAAAAAAAACTCCAAGAATGTGATGATAACCATTTTAAAGAGTCACTTTTAGTTACTCACGTGCTGAGCCTCGGGTTGCCCATCAATAACAGAATGAATAGTTAATATGGGCCATTTCCTTAATGTGGGAGAGAGCATTTCCATGTCAATCTGCTGCCTCAACTTTTCCTAAAAACTGCCTTTCTTCAGGACTTGTTATTGATGCTGGTGACAGAGTATCTCTAGGGAACAGCCCAGCTGTGGCACTGCACAGACCCCAGAGCAGAGGACTGAGCCCAGTGACCAGCCCATGAACCTTCAGATGTCACCAGCGAGTCGGCATGGGAGGGAGTGTCACTTCCTTCCTTGTATCTCCTGGTGCCCCCTGTCCCCTTGACTTGTGGTCAAACTGAGATACAATTACACTGGAGGTGTGGCTATCAAATGTGATACTATATTTAACAGGCCTCAGTGCTTCATAGGTTCTTTCTCAGCGTTCACTAATTAATCTTCCTTGCCCTAAATGTCTTGGATTATCTCTGCGTTGCAGTCAGTGGGTCTGAAGCTCAAGGTTAAATGTCTTGCTCTCAGCCCAGAGCAGAGATAGTAGCTGTCAAGAAACTTCTTAATGAGAAAGTTCATCTCCTGTTTTTCCACAGTTTAACTGTGGCTCTTACATTTAGAGGAACGCAATTTTTGGCAGCCTGTCCTAGAAAACCAGGAGCAGCCCAGGGGTGGGGAACATCCTTGTCCTGTCCCTCCTCTGAGGGACCTTTGCTGCTTGGTCTTGCTCAACCATCTTGCCAGACTTTTGGTTTTTTGGAGACATTCTGAAAACACAGATTTCTAATGGCATGTGAAGGTTTTCAACCCTTGCTTTCCATTTAGTACAAAGGTCCTGAGGAAGTGGTCTCAAGTTTCTCCAGGGGAGGTTTAGGTTGGGTATTAGGAAAAATTTCTTCGTGGACAGGGTTGTCAAACATTGGGACAGGCTTCCCAGGGAAGTGGTGAAGTCACCATTCCAGCAGGTGTTTAAAAGGTATGTGGGGCACTTGAGGGCGTGGTTTAGTGGTGAACATGGTGGTACTGGGTTAAGGGTTGGACTCAATGATCTTAGAGGTTTTTTCCAACCTTAATGATTCTGTAATTCCCTGCTTAACCTGTTGTTATTGTAGGTGAGATATGTTAAGGACATGAGCGAGGCAAGTTTGATGGAAGATTTGTTCTAACGTATCAACAACTGGAGAAAAATGGAGAAGATACAGGCCCATACCTCTCAGCAAGGCTTTGAGATACTGGAAGTGAAGGACCTTCCATTGGGCTTAGCCCAGAGGCTGATTCTCAGGTAGCCAAATTAGATAATGGGACTATTGCAATTGGTGCATTTTAAATATCAAAAAATGTTCTTTCTTCAGAAGCTGTCAGACTGTTAAGTTACTTCATAACATTTGTTCAAAACTATGTTTAAAACCCTTGTCATGTAAATTGTCTGCTGAAGAGCTCTTACACCACTCCCCACAGATAAGACTTAGACTTGTACCATAGTAGTTGCTCTTATCATCTCTCAGCATATGTGCTTCTTGTGAGTATATCTGGAACCAGAATAGAAATTGTAAGAAATTCCTGGTGTTATTTGCTTCATGCCTGGACTAACACCTAAAACGCAGCACAATGCAGCACATTCCAAAAGCATCTGCTAGTACCATAAAGGAAACAACTGTCAAGACATCAGTATGAAAATAAATTTGTGAAAACACAGTCAAAGAATGGAGAAAAATTTCGTTTGAAATGATGGATCTCAGTAAATGTCATATTGCTTTTACCTCATCTGTGTTTGATAAACCCACATTCAGCAGCATCTCAGCCTTTCCAGGGACATGAACAACTAAGTGACCCAAGCATTCCTTGATGCCTGTGCTAAGAAAAAGGAACATCCAGGTAACATTTCATCTCACCTGCTATTTGTTCTATTCCACATTGGTAGGGAAGTAGAATCTTTTGAAATCCCCTATAGAAGTATAAAAGTTGTGCCTAGATACCCAGCAGTAACCAAGCTGGGTGCCTGGTCCTCCAGGGAGGCACTTCAGGTTGCAGAAGATCCCATCCAGTTCCTGCTGCTTCCATACTCAAACACCATAGCCAGATATCCAGAGCACAAAAGCTGGACCTTTGGGGACGCAACTCTCTCAGAAATCTCTAATAATAAAATAATTCCTTGTTAAATATTCATCAGCCCAGAGAGAGAGAAGGAGGAAAGAGGAAATGTATGTGTGGAAGGAGTTTTAACATCCATCTCTTTGGTTTAAAGCAAAAAATAAATCTTGGAAAATAACCCAGAAAACACCTGAAAGTTTTTCCAAAATCGTGTATATTTCTGTAAGAGAGTTGAGGTTTCATAGAATAGTGTTTTCTGAGGAAAACACAGGTTACTTAGGAAATTTCCACACAGCTTTGGTTTGAATTACACTTTCCACAAATGACAGAATCACAGAATGGTTTGGGTTCGAATCATGTTGTTCCAAGACCAGGTTACTGCAAGCTCCACTCAGCCTGGCCTTGAACACTTCCAGGGATGGGGCACCCTCAGTTTCTCCGGGGAAAACTGTTCCAGGGCCTCAGCACCCTCACTGTCCAGAATATTTTCCTGTTATCTAATATAACCCTGCCCCCTGTCAGTGTGAAGCCATTCCCCCTTGTCCTGTCACTCCATGTCCTTGTAAAAAGCCTCTCTCCAGCTTTCTCAGAGCCCTGCATTGTGGCACAGTCTTGATGGTGAAACTGAGCTTCAGGCAGGTAGAAAATCAAACCTACCAGAATTAGTCATTGATATCCTGGAAACCTTAATTTGACACTATCAATTGCTTTAATATGATAGTAATCTGACCAACAGAGACAGGATGAGACAATAGAGGGGAAGAAACCACTCCCAAACAGTTTCTATACATAGTGATTATTTATTCAGCCAGTATTAACTAAGAAATTGTGTGCAAGCAAGTGTTAAAATCAGGCCATGGTAGGCCCAGAAATTTAATATCTAAAGGAAGGAGAAATCCTTTATACAGGTAGCAAAATGAAAAAGCAAAGCAGATCAATGTCTGGGTATGGCTCACCCTCCTGTGTCTTGAACCAGAATTGCAGTCCTAAGGAGAAAATTATTTTTACTGGTCTAAAATAGGAAGGGAAGGTGGTAAGTAGGATCTGCCCTGCTCAGGGCTGGTATATGTGACTGGAGAGCTATGGGAGATCAGCAGCAACCCTGAGGAGCAGTTGGAGGGCCTGTGGGGCACCCTAGTGCATCCTGAATGGCACCAGGATGTATCATTTTGGAAAAGTGTAAGGAAAAAGATTAGTAGGAAGGCACCGTTTATCACCTGTATAAACAGATTTATCAGAATCTTTGTGTTTAGGTCACAAAGTAAAAGTTGTCAGATTTAATGTGTACCTCCTATTTTGCCTGTACAAAAATTACATTTCTCTTTGCTTTGTATTTCTCTTCCTATCTCATCCACAGTCACATGAAGTGCAAAAGAGCCTCAAAATATCCAGCAAGAATTTTCCAAATTAAAAAAAACCCCTTGATTTACAAATAACTTTGATTAAAAGCTTGGTTTGTGAACCAGTGGTAAATCATGTGTTTATTTAGCAGGAATATGTTCCATTGACAATCAACAAAAAGGTAACAGAAGAAAGTTTAGTGGCATTTAATATATTATGCAAAAAAACCCCTGAAGTGTCTTAAAGTGTTTCTCCCATTAAAAACAAATTAATCAGTGGCAGATCCACTGCAAGGAAAGCCACAAAATAAGAATTAGTATCTTAAGCATAATTTTTACAAAGCCTAAAATAACATCAGAACTTATTTTGGGGGTGCTAGTCTAATTTAGGACTAAAGTAATGGTCAGATTCCAGATAAAATTGTTATCTATAGGTCAATCTGAGCAGATGCACTGAGGGTGAATACACTTCACAGTGAGTTCTACGCTTCTCCTATGAGTCTCACAGCAGCTGTAACGACATCCACCAGGACTTTATATGATTTGAGTGGTGCATTTGCAGGTTGCAGGACACTTTTGCTTCACCAGTGAGTGGCTACAGCCAAACAAAGTTTTCAGGTTCTTGCAGTTTCCAAGGAGATCTTGATACTTGCAAGGATTGGCTAAAATAAAAGAGAGAGAAACAAAGATGTGAAATATTGATTGAAAACCAAGTTTTGGTTTGATACTTCTGCATTTTCCAAAAAGATTTGAGTTTTTCTTGTCTATATAATCTTTGTACTTTTACTCTGCAGTTAAAATTGCTTGAATATTATAGAAAGGGAATGCAGGTGGAAAGGTGGGTATCAACCACCTGTTTGAGATTGGAAGGCTCCTCTGGAGGTCAGCTGGTCCAACCAGCCCCTGCTCAGTGTTGTGCCTGTTTTGGTGGGGTATTTAATCACTGTTATTGCAAGGGGTGGGTAATGAAAGGGGCAGCTCTAGGATCTTTCATCCAGATTAGCAGGAAATAACTATGCAAAAGTAAAATGCTACACAGGATCAACATCACTATCTGAGGTAATGCAAATGTTTTTTTTCGGGAGGAGAACAGAGTCACTTACTGCAAAGCCCTTTGTCACAGTGGCCAGGACAGTCTGCACATTTTGGTCCACTTCTGTAAGGTGTAGCTATTTGCATTGCGTTATTTCCTCTGAAATTTGAAAGAAATACAAGGCATGACAAGATTAACATGAAGATCTGGGCCATTAAGAGGAGTTATTGCAGTGAAAGGCATCCAGAAGTTTTTGGATAAAAGTATTTTCATAGGCAGTCATGTTTTAATTTCAGATATGTTTTAAATGTCAGATATTCATAGAATAGAATAAATTTGATTTTAACTAAGAGGGGCAATAAGGCTTAGAGAAACAAAATTAATTGATTATCTGTATAGCATTATTCACAAAAAAATTATGTGCTTTCTAGCTCTCCTTTTCTAATGGTTTGCAAGTGTTTGGGGCTTATAAGGCAATCATAAGATCACAGAATCATAGAACTATTTGGGTTGGGAGAGACCTTAAAGATCATGTTGTTCCAACCCCCTGCCATGGGCAGGGACACCTTCCACTAGACCAGGTTGCTTAATAACCTCAGCAGACCCTTTCTGACACCAGCTGCTTGAGATGGGCTATTTACCTCTAAATATTCATTTGCTGTTGGTTTTCACTTTGCATCTGACTTTCTGCTTTTTGGTCCAAGTTATAGCATAGTTTATGCCTGATTCTGCCAGAGATACACCTTTGTTCATCTGCTGAAATTTCCCTAATAACTGTTACAATGTGAAATAAAATAAATATCACTATTTAGACCTGCTATTAAGCCCACAATTCACATTAGTATTTTTAAAACTATAAAAGGTTAAAGTAGACTGCAGTCATTTTATCCTACACATGGCCAGTGGGGCACAGGGGGTTTTGGAAAGATATCCATAATCCATAATTATCTATATCCATAATGAGTAAGCAGGCAGTACGTACGCAGGGCAGTATTGGCAAACGTAAAAGTACTTGTAGGAGCTTGTAGGGCAGTAGGAAACCGCACATCCAACCTGGTAACTGTTGTACCAGATAAGCTGTAGAATAAAAATAAACACATTATTTCAGTCATCTTTATTGAATTCTCAACAAAAAGCTAACAAAATAACAGAAGGTATTTTTTTCTTTCAGTTTTTTTCTATTCAGCTTTTAAGTTTACAGTTTAGTAGTCAGAAAGAATACATAGAAAAAAGAGTTTATCATCTCCAAATGTTTTTGAACATATTTGCTGGAAGGAGACTTAAGTTTAAGGTCAAATACTTTCATCTTGGATATTTTGTTGTGACAATTCTTAATCAGGAATTTCATCCATACATAGAAAATATTTATTTCTAAATTAAATGTATTTATTTAAAAGTATTTTTAAATTAGAGGTATTTTTAAATTAAAGGTATTTCTAAATTATTTCTACAGAATAGTGTTTCTTTTATGGACAGCTCTTAAAAAATACTGGTTCCATTGCCTCATAATTAGATAGAAAAGAATTTTAATTTATCATTCATCTTCGCATCAGAATGTAAATGATAGATAATAGTTGGATGACACTGATAATTTTTTTTAATAATTATAAATAACTCCCAGCTGCCTTAATTGTACTGCTGTAATTGTAGTGCACTGTGTTTCAGTTTTCCTTACCTGAGTGTAGCTCTCGATATTGACATTTTTGGAGGTTGCTCCATATCCATATTTGAAATTGGAGGACTGACTGTACCATGTTTGGATTGTTTCAGGCCATGTTCTTGGGTAAGATGATAGCAGTATATTCTCACCACAGGTGACACCTGCAGTAGAAGTAAGTCTGGTTTATTCCTTAGGAGAGAAGCAAGTTGTGGGGTGGGAGGTGGGACAGAGGGGTTGGAATTTTAGTCTAAAAAAAAAAGTCTAGGATGCTAATCTTTTTGTCCTGTGATTTTAAGAGGAGGACAGTCCACCTCATCCTCTGAAAGCTGCAGGAAATGTTACTCTGATTTTATGAGCTTTCAGGCACAGATACTTAGATCACAAAACTTTACACAAAAATCCTGTACTTAGTCACACCAACAGTCATCCATGGCACTGTCTTGTTTACAGCAGGAGACAAAAGTGGACACTTGAAAGGTACAGATATAGGGCAAGTACATAATCCTTCTCCAGTTCCAACAAATTGTCCTTCGGGGTATTTATGTGACAAAGATGATAGTTTTGTGTTTAATAATCATAGAATCATAGAATGGTTTGAGTTGTAAGGGACCTAAAGATCATCTAGTTCCGGTCCCTCTGCCACATATAGGGACACCTTTTGCTAGACCAGGTCCTAAAAAGGTATTCTAATAATAATAACTATTCTAATAATCCTAAAAAGCAGTTCTACAACAGATTAAAAGTTATCTTTATTTCTATTTCACATTCCCAGGGGTCATCTGCAAACATTAACCCATCAGCTCAGTTTCCATCCTTGTCACTACCATTAAGGGTTCTCTGCTCCCTTGGACTGATTCTCATCTGACACGTATTTGCCCACTTCTGAGCATTTTTGGCAGCTTTATCGCTCCACACCTGAAAGACACAAAGGAAGAAGTATCCAGGTCATAAATAGGTTAGTGCTGTTCACGAGAAGTAAAAAAAATGGGGAATGGCTTAGGTGTTGTGCACTGAATGTTCTCATGGTCATGGGAAGGGGTCATACCAGTTTACATTCCTGGGGCACAGGAACCACATTTTTTCTACTTTTGAAGATGCCAGAGCAGGTAACTCTGCACAGTTACATCTGATCTCCAGATGCTCCTGATTATTAGGATTTTTGTAACATACTGTTGCTTTCTGTCAGACTTGTGTCTGAGTGAACACTGCAGGGAACAGTGCACTAAATAGCATAGAACTGATTTTCGACCCAAGTACAGCTGAGATGGACTAAGAAGCACCAGCTGAGCTTTGAACCTGGGGAATGTTTGCAAGTCTCACTGTGCAGGCTTAACCACAAAGCACCAACCAGCTCATCTGATCATGGAATAGGGATAACAAGGAATATCGGGAGTGAGAGGGATGGGAGAAATGATGGGCAAAGCAAACTCAGGTGAGGACAAATGGTTATGCAGATCTAGGTCTTTTATCTCCCCCCTGACAGTGTGTGATTCAGAAGCTGCTGCTCGGATTCCTGCTCCTCCTTTGCTTCACATGCTCTTTGCTTCTACCAGGGCATGTGTTTTGCTTTTAGGAATTATGGAATCATAGATAGTTTGGGTTGGAATGGACCTTGAAGGGTCATCTAGTCCAACCTCTCTGCAATGAGCAGGGACACCTTCAACTAGACCAGGCTGCTCAGAGCTCCATTCAGCCTGTCCTTGAACAGTTCCAGGGATGGGGCAGCCACAGCTTCTCTTGGCAATCTCTGGCAGTGTTTCACCACCCTTATAATTAAAAATCTTCTTCCTATATCTAATCTAAATCAACCCTCTTTTAAATGAACACCATTAACCCTTCTGATATTGCAAGAGGGCCTGATAAAATATTTTCCCCCATCTTTCTTATAGACCCACTTTAGGTACTGGAAGGGGCTCTAAGGTCTCCTTAGAGTATTCTCTTCTCCAGGCTGAACAGCCCCAATTTTCTCAGTCTGTCTGCACAGCAGAGCTGCTCCAGCCCTCTGATTGATTTTGTGGTCTCCCCTGGACTCACTCCAGCAGTTCCATGTCCTTCTGATGTTGGGGATCCCAGAGCTGGAGGCAGTTCTGCAGGTGGGGTCTCACCTGAGGGGGCAGAGGGGCAGAATTGCCTCTCTTTCCCTTCTTCCCACACTGCTAGGGAGGAGCCCAGGACACAGTTTGCTTTCTGGGCTGCACGTGGGCGTTGCTGGCTCACGTTAAGTTTCTCATCCACCAACATCCCCAAGTCCTTCTTTTCAGGGCTGCTCTCAAACCTCTTCATCCCTCAGACTGCTTTGATACTGGGGTTTCTCTATCCTCTCTTTTAAGGGAAAAGCAGGCAAGTTGTAATGCATAGCTTACCATCTTCAACATGTTCCTGGCTGTGGGAAGTACAGATCTGCGTATTTCATTGTGTTGATCAAGGATCTCTTTTTGGTTTTTAGACTTAGAATGAGGAAAGGAGAAAATTTTTGCTGTTTTATCTGGAAAACCCTGGAAAACAATGACAATGAAGGCCCAGTTAACAGAAAGTTTAATAGACAAGATAAATTATGAGCTTCTCCTCAATACAAAGTTTCTTGGAAATTCTCAACAATCTTTTATTTGTTCTTCTATTGTTACAATATTTTTTTTCCTTCCCTCCTTGATTTAAACTGCACTTTTCATTAGGAGATGTGACCTTAAATGAGATTTGTAGGTAGGAATACTGCCCTCAGATTTCTCCACATCAAACATGGAGAAAGCTTAGCTCTGGAACCAAATCTCAAGGCTGGCTTAGACCTCTTGTGTGCACTGAAAAAAGCCTCTAGCTCTTGTGTGTTGTAAGCTCTGGAAGTACGTGAAGCTGCATTAGAACTTAGGACTGTTTGCAGACCTTCTAAAGCACCTTAGGTCAAGAAAGCAATGAACGACTTGGGTTGTCTCTTAAACAACGTTGTGAGGGCATCAATTCTTGCACAGAAAAGAGGTTGCAATGCTTACACTGGAGTTTTCAGGCTAAAACATCCCTCAGGAAAAGATTCTTCCTACTTAATATCTAAACCTGAGGCATCTCAGTCTAAGACACCTTCACTGTCTTTGTCATTACAGGAGAGGGCACAGGAAGCTCAGTCCATGACATCTGCACTTCATTTTAGAACTGGAAGAAGCATTTTCTTAAGTACCTCCTCCTCCATTAGTAGTGAGACTGACAGAGATCTGAACAACTAATATGTTGATGCTGAAGTCAGTGAGGTGGGCTCTGCCATTGGTGCAAAGGTCTCTTTTCTAGGCACTGATTCATCTTACTTAATTCTAGATACCCATAAAATAGATGTAAATATCCAAAAGTCATCTCAGTTTACCTTTATGGTCAATGAAAAAAAACATACAATGAGATTAAACTTTGAAATGTCCAAATGTTATGAATGAATTCCACTGCTTTGCCTTCGCAGCTCAACTCTAGGTTTTAAAGAATGTACTTGGTGGCTTAAAATGGCGTCTAATGCCATTTGAGGTGTCCAGAGAGCCCTAGATATGTGTAGCTCACTGCACAGCCACTCGTGAGTGGCTCAGGGACCCTGGAGAGTCTCAAGCTGCACTGAGACATGTTTGGGCAACTGAACCTATCCCAAGAAGAAGGGTAGTACATCTTGTTTAAATTAAGACATTTACAGTGGTAGAAATAACAACTCAGCCACTTATTTTAGGCTGCTGCTCTACTCAGGTAAAGGAAAGAAGCAACTTAGGACATATTTCCCCTGAGATTTATAGAAGAAAGAGACTATTTGGTTCCCTGAAGTACTTATTTTTTTTCATTCATTAATAAGATCTTGATAAACAGCTCACATTTAAATTCCTACATAATAGATCTCTACATATTACAAGGTTAATCCTCTCTAAGAGATTTAAAAATCGTATTTCTGGATCTTAGTTAAATTGTTTATTTGTCTGTGGAAAATGTGTTTTTAAAATTAATCTCACAAAGGGAAGAATATTTTAATAGGCAGAATCACAGAATGGTTTGGGTTGGAAGGTGCCTTAAAGATTCAGTAGCTCCAAACCCCCTGTCATGGACGGGGACACCTTCCACTAGTCCAAGTTGCTCAACCAATAGACAAATAACAATAATAATAAAAATAATAATAACAATAATAATACAAAACCCCATGAAAAATAAGAGTTCCTCTTTGATGTGTTATATTAACATGTTAACAATAATTTCACTCCTGAACTGTAAATATCTGGAGATCACTAGACCAGACTGCACCAGGTCAGGTACCTACACAATGTGCTCAGATATGGCTGTTTTGCATAGATGAATATTCCTACCTGTCCATCACACTGGTGTAGCAGAGCAGCCAGGAAAATGATTGCAGGTAGTAGATCCATTTCTACAGGGGGAAAAAAGACCACAAACAAAAACCCAAAGTCCATTAATCTCTGTTCCATATAGTTCGTGGCATAACATGGTATGTGAGAGAGATGCAAAACTGTTGCAAAGTCAAGCCGGCCCAAAGAAGTTTATTTTAGTGGATCCTGAATATAAGGTGGATGTGCTGAAACTGTGCAAATCAGTGTATGATGGTGCATGGGCACCACTGTCTCCTACAGACAGAAGATTTCACCTCGCATTGAAACAGGGACTGTAAGTAGCATAAAGGAGTGTGTTACTTGGATCAGTCCCCCTTCGAACTTCTTTATTCAAGATATCTTGAATTTGCAACATTTCTTTCATCTTTGCTCCCTTGTATTAAAAAAAAGTCCATTAATGTGTTCAGTGCTGTCACATCAGTGTCCTGCTCAAGCATCATCCATAGTGAGAACTGGTTTTTTGGAGTGGAGCACTAAACATGCCAACAAGTTGTCTCCGTTTCTGTTCCTGTTCCCTGTTTCCTCATTAAATCAATCTCATAAGGGCTGATTTAATGGTGGTGATCACCCTCATGTTACATCTGACACTGAGACATAAAGAAAACCTTCATATATGATAATATTACCAAATAATGTGTGCTATTGCCCTCTGGCTCCTAAGACACCTTATAGAAGCAAATACCACAGAGATACACAGACAGTCTGAAACCCACTTTTGTATATAGGATGTTTTTTCTACATATCAGAAGAAGCAAAAAGTGTATGTCTTTGTACTGACGAGGATATATAAGAGATAATGCAAAGATGTGGCAAAACCCCAAGGTAGACTAACTCCAAATTCAAGAGGCTACCTTAAAACAGACTGATACAAGAGGAAAATAGACAAAAACCATAAACATAATAAACCTTAGATCTGGCCTCTGAGAAAAATCCGCAGTGTGAGCAGTACAAGTCAGTGGTAGAGATCTAGGAAATCCTGCTTGATAGGGAAACTAACACTGTAAAATTCCTTCTTATATCTACTCTAAATTGACCCTCCTTTAGATTAGAACCATTACCCCTTGTCCTATTATGTAATTCAAATATTCATAAACTGAAGGAGTATCTTTGGCCATTGAGTAGTTCCAGCTGCAGCTGGAAACATAAAACATTTCCAGATCCAGATTTAAATGGTTAAAATACTTCTGCACATCTTCGACTGTACCATCAAATCTGTCCCTTGGACTAAAAGTGTTGGGCTTTACTTTCAAAGCCAAAAGATGGTGATTCCCAGATACAATTATCCTTCACTGTCAATAGTGTTCAATCCACTAAATTATTTCTATCCTTCTGAAAAGACAAATGCCAGCAATGCACTTTTAGGTAGCTCTACATGAAAACCTGAGGTTTCATGCAAATTTGATTAAATGTAAAAAAAAATACATAAATTGGTAGATACAAAGCTAGAAACCATGTTCTATTTTAAAAATACGGTCGTGGTTAGCCTGGTGTTTCTCTCTTCAGTAGAACCTTTCTCCTGCCAGCTAAATCAACTTTCTGGGCAAACTAGGTTTGAAAGTTTGGAAAAGGGGGAATATTTGTCTTTTCAGAAACTTTGATAACTTTTCTCTGAGTTTGCACTATTTTCATTTAAAAAAATTCACTCTGTATTAAGAAAAGACAATCAACTTATTGCATACATAATAGGTATTAGATATTTCAGTAGCCTAAATAGTGAAAGCTCGGACAGATAGTTAACATTTAGAGATGACACAATTCTGAGTTCAGCTGTACTGGTATATCCCAATATTCAGGTGAAATAAATTCAACATAAAAATAATCCAAAAGAAATTAGAAAAACATTTCCCATTGTGGACCATGCTCTGCAAAAGGAATTTATTTATGTTCACAGTTGAAGAATGAAGCAAGTGGGTCCAAGTGGTACATTTTGATCTAAAGAAATATGGGAATAAGACTCCACTGATGCTATTTCTCACCCCCACTGGTGGAGGATGTGCTTTCAGAGCAGAAGATACTATTTATTTTACATTCTTCCTCTGAGATAATATAAGCATTTTCTTTTAATTATCACATTTGACAGTGCTTGGATATCAACTCCATTAACCTCCATAGCACAGTGCCCAATCAATACTGCCCAAGTGACTCTTTGGATAAAATCCTAAGACTGAAGTTAAATTTTGCATACTTTACCTTCAGCCAGCCAGAATCTGTCTGTGTCTAAGGAAGCTGTAGGAGAATGAGAGGCTCTCCTCAACCCAGGGCTCTTTATATATACATGTTCCCTTCTTTTTCCTTGTCAATATTTATAGCTGATAAATGACATCAGCTTTGGGGCTGCCCATTTTGGAAGAAGGAACTTTTCTTAAGAAACAGGTGCCTGAAAGTTAACCAATACAGCTCCATTGTTCTGGATTCCTTTTGCTTGTCTCCAGGGCAAGGAAAAAGAGAAGATAAAAGACCTGTCCTTTTGCAGCATTTTGACTTTGACTGGGCCAAAATGCTTCTAGTTTGCTTAGCAAGCTACAGTGCTAATGTGCTCACAAAGTAAAAGTTTAAGGTTAGGGCTGGTTGCTTTGCAATTGTCTTTTCTGACTCTGACAAAAGAGTAGGATAAATATTTTGAGGGAGAGACGTTAGTCAGCAGCTTTGCCACGTGCAGAATGCCCCATGTTGCACAGTGGGCAACACAGTGGTATTTTCTTCCAAGTGGTTCCTGAAATTCCATTTGCTGAACAAAGTTTATATTCCATTAACTCACTAAGGATGTGGTACTAGGCATCACTTTTTACAAGGCATGCAGTGATAGGATAAGTAAGAATGGCTTTAAACTGAAAGAAGGCAGGTTTATACGAGATACTAAGAAGAAATTCTTAATAAGTGCATGGTGAGACCCTGGAACAAGTTGCCCAGAGAAGCTGTGGCTGCCCCATCCCTGGAAGTGTTCAAAGCCAGATTGGATGAGGCTTGGAGCAACCTGGGATGGTGGAAGGCGCCCTGCCCATGGAAGGGTGGTTGGAACTGGATGGTGTTTAAGGTTCCTTCCAAGCCAAACCATTCTGTGATTCTGTGATTTTGTGATTATTGTACACATAACTCACTCCATGTGTTGTTTAAGAGTAAGCTACTTGCAGAATGGCTGCAAGTGTTACATTTTCCTTCTTTGGAGGGATGTAGAACATGTGTTTTGTTCTAATGAGGCATAGAATGATTTGGGTTGGAAAGGAACCTAAAGATCTTCTAGTTTCAACCCCCTGGCATGAGCAGGAATACCTTCCACTAGACCAGATTGTTCAGAGCCCTGTCCAACCTGGCATCACTCAGCTCACCTTTCCTTTTTGCAGACTCTTTGCTTTCACTCGCTTATAAGGTAATATCACAAAGGTAGCTTTGACAGGTCCTTGTTGCTCAAACACAACCTGTCTTGCTTTTTTCTGTGGTGTCTGTTGGCTTTCAGAAGGCATAAAGCATCAGCACAATCTCCCCTGTCCTTTCTTGAGTTCCCTTCCTCGTCCTTGCCTTTGCTGTGGTGTGTTGCACTGAGCACCCTTCTCACCATGCTGGGTTGAGGTTGCTGCCCACACTACAATTCAATACTGTTTCATTGTCTCCAAATTTCTGCGGCATTTCTGCAGCTATGTGCTGTTGCCAGCATTTTAATCTTGAATTATAACCCCTGTGTTGGAAAACACAACTGCCCTTGTTCTTTGTTTGTGTAGCGGGCAGCACTGACGGGAAGTCACTTGCGATAAGGTCTCCCACATCCTTCCATGTTTTGAGATAAGGGAAAAGGTGCTTTTTTTATCTGAAGTGCTTGGGACAATTTTGATGAGACCACGGTTATCACCACGAGAAAGCCTAATAAGCCACCTCCCATGATTATTAAGATTGGATTTTTCTTGACTGCGAGGGGAGACAGTCTAGGATCTCCAGTTTCTCAGTGTCCTGGGAGACACTTCCATTATTTTACTCCATCCACTGTACCCAGAAATTTTCATTAATCCTTTACAGTCACCTGAGCTTTATTTGTACAGTTCAAATGAAATTATACTACTCAAAGTACTTCTTTGAAACATGCCACACCTGTTTAAATACTTAAACACATTTGTTCCATAAAGAATTATTTTCAGATATGCTACAATTCGTGGTCCATGAGCAAAATACTTGGGAAGTAAAAAAAGATTAACAAAGCTGACATCCGAAACCATGGTACAAAGAACAGTTTAGCATAGCAATTTCCACTTCCTCATGTGGATTACCTGAAGGGATAGAACAATTTAATTAAAAAAATAAATTAAGAATTAATTCCAGAGAGTTCTGCAAATATATGTATATTTTTAAAGATAAACCTATGGAAAGATCTTAAAAAATTTCAGCTTAAGACATTTGACTGTAAGTTCTTCTTCCAACACTTGTGTAAACCTGAGCTGCAAAAATGTGATTTAATCTAGAACAAGGAAGAGAAAAATCCAGTTTCTTCAATTCTTTATTTCCAATGAAATTAATGACAGCTCAAATAACACTTTACATTAAAATCCAGGCAGTTCTGTGTGGTTCAGAGTTTGTATAAATCTTTTTCTTAGCTATGCAGAACACCTTGCAGGCTTAAGCTTGTTTGGCAAAAAGGAACATTATTGATTTTTTCCAAGTGACCCAACTCATCTTCCTCTCCATATTATTATTATTGAGGAGACAACAAACAGAGTAATCAATCAGTCAATAAATCAATCAGTTACTGTCAGAGGGGTGGATGCCTCACCAAAAGATCTCTCCCAGGCAAAGGGAAGGCACGTAAATGCCAAGTGTCTTTGAAGGCTGTTAGACTACAGGGCTGAGGTGTTGGGCACAGATGACCTGCAAATTGGAAACTGTGACTGCAGCAGTATTCTAATTCTCCACCATTAGTTTTGAACTGGGGGAGGTGTTGTGTGTTCAGCCAGGATGAAAAGCAGGTAGATAAAATCCGCACTTCTCAGAAAAACACAGCATTCCATGTCTACCTTTGGTCTTCAGAGAGCCAAGCTACTCACCACTCTTCTCCAGCACCTTTCAGTCCAAGCAGATGTTCTGATCAGCTTGGGGCCCACTGTGGTACATCTGCAGCCTTTAGGGATTGAAATTTGCTTTCAAAGGAGACATTTTAGGGTGACCTTTCAGGTGTGCTGTTGGAAGAAGACCTGCAGGCTGGCGGTGCGTTGTGGCTGCCCCATCCCTGAAAATGTTCAGGACCAAGTTGGATGGGGCTCTGAGTAACCTGGTCTAATGGAAGATGTCCCTGCCCATGGCAGGGGTTGGAACCTGATGGTCTTTAAGGTTCCTTCTCACCCAAACCATTCTGGGGTTCTGTGGTTACAGTACGTCCTTTCATGACACTGTGAAACTTGAAACCATTGCCTTGGTGACTATTCATCACCAAGGAAAATAAACAAAAAACCTAAATGAACCACCAGTAACCATACATCAACACAGTATTATGGAATAATTAAAAAAAATTGTTATCCCTCCCTTCCACCCCCATAAAATAACCTGTGAAAAATAAACTGTGCCTTAGAGTTGTTTTTCTACATGGTTCTAAAAAATTTGCAGCAAGAAGAGTTCATGATTTCCCTGGATAATAAACTTTGTTCTTTCCTAGTCTTACTGCTCTATAACTACTTTTAAAGTCTAACATATGGAATTGCAGAAGGAAACTGTGTGTGTGTGTGTGAAAGTCATTTTCATGAGGTCCAAAATGAATTAGTAAATGATTCAATCACTAAAATGATACACTTTTCATATTGAAGCTCAATATGTGTGTGTGTTCATGCTCTTTTCAATCTTCTCTGTTGAAATGTGGCAAAGCTGAGCAGGGTAAAAATGCATAATAGTCTTTTTTAAGCTTGTACAGATTGGCACTTCAGCTACACTTTGGATGTAGTAATTAATTAGAAACATTTTCTAACTCTATACCATGAGACATCAAGAATCTGCCTCCAGAAAAGAAATCTGGGGTAAAACTCATTCCAACTCCTGGGACAACTCAAAAGTGAAAATCTTGTATTTGAGTTAGACTTTTTCATCTCCTTTTAAGTAAATAGATAAAACACACTTCTAAAGTTGCCTTTAGGAAGCAGCTTATCTAATTTATTTAAAATATTAAATTAAAATAAGTGAAACTATCAGGTACGGGTCAATGAGAGAGATAAGCTACATCCCTTCAATCACATCTCTCCCATAAAACAAATAAACCAATGGTTGGCATGAGTGAATGTTAATAATATGGAAGGATACAAGGAAAGTGAACACAGAAGAATTCAACATGGAAACCTCATGTAGAACAGCACTATTTTTTTCAGACGTCTTCCTCTGCAATAGTTAAGTGTAACCAAACAAAACATAGTCATGCACAGTGCATCTTTTAGACCAAATCTGTTATTTAAAATAAATCTGATGAACAGGAAACAGAGAAAACAAACCAAAGAAACGTTTGTTAGAATGCAAACTGACCTTTGATATAGGTGAGTTATTTATTTCTTATTTTTTTTCAAGGACAGTGGAAAATACATCCATTTTCCTCCAGTTAATTGTGGAAGACACAAAGAAATGCAGACTCACATTGTCATTGACATCTCAAATTTAATGATGATCTGGAGATATTTGCTTTTTACTCATGGATAAAAACGGTTTTACAGGCTCAACTTCAGTTTACACTGTTCATGACTTCAGACATGGGTGTCTGTGAAAAACAAGCTACACAAATTGAAGATTTTTGTTAATTCCTTTTTGTTTTCTTCATGAATTTGCTTGAAAAAAGGTTTTCTCTAATTTAACAATAGTGACAACAATGTAGGATCTTCTACTGTGAAATCTTTAAAAAAAGGTGGGCCCTAAATGAATTCTTTTACATGCTTATATTCCTTAAATTGTTTTATATGACCATTTTAGCCTTTTCTTGCATTTTACTTAAGAGTAAACCAGAGGCATTGTAGATGGCACAGAAAGAAGGTTGGTCTTGTAATAGTGTTCAGTTGGTAAAAAATATCTTGCACTTGGTGCAACAGAAAGTTATGTTAAAATGTAAAAGATATAAGGAAAATCCAATTTACAAATCAGCAAATCTTACATGGAGCATTCCATTGGACTGGTTGTAGTAAGCAAATGATAAACATTTGGAACAGTGAAAAGAAGTATTCATCGAATCTCCATTTAAAATCACGGAATCCGAGCTTGAAGAGCCATTTGGA